CAGTGGCCTATTCCGCGAAAGTAAAGGGGAAACATTTTTGGGCACAAACCTCCTATACTGATAGATATCGCCGGCCAAGTTTGCGCGTTCGCGCGCATTCAGCAGTGAAAGAGCATTAATGGTAACGAGAAAATTTCCCACTAAGAGCCTTCGGTACGGGAAAATCGGACTTTGCGTCCAAGAAGGTCAGATGAGACCATGCAAATAAATAGCCTTTTTCAAAAAACAACGAACTAAGACAGTATTGACAATTCCGAGTTGCAAATTGGTGGTACCTTAGTAGAATATGATTGATTAGCAATAGTTCGCTTACTGACATGTGAATAACAATGAATACGCAGGTATATTAACAGTGCCCGTGATACGCTGCCACTTTTCCCTTCAGACCGTGTGATAAGGATGCAAGGGCAATTTTTGCCTACGACTGACTTTTAACGGACACAAACATTAGAATCAGGTCAGCCGTGTGGGTAGCTAGCAAGTGTTTTCAATATTAGTAGGGCCGATCTGTGGCGGATTACTAATGGCAGAACTGTGCCCAGAAATATGCAGGATGGGCTGAAACGATCCACCAACAGGCATGACGACGGTTTTATTTGTTGGATACCAAACACATCAATGTATGACCGTTGCGATTATCCGCAGAGGCTTTTCCGAATGTTTCCTTACAGCATAAATCGGAATCATATAACTTGGACTTCAAGAACAGAAGGCAAGAAGAGCGTTACTTTACGAAGACAGAAAATCACTGGACGTTTTTTATAAGCTAGGGAGCATGATGATCACCGATCGTTATTTAGGAAGACTACGTCTGCGATGAGGACGTACAGTTAGTGACCTACCTCATGAAATGTGCCGAAATTTACGAATGATTGTCAACCATTTCATGAGTCAAATGTCTATGTTAATAAAGTGCAAGTTTATAAGGATTAAAAACGTAAAAGGAATATTACAGGTAGTGTTGCGTTGTTTAGAAATACCGATTTATTTTGAAAAGCGCAATGTCCCCAAAAACGTCAGAAATGGCCCTAATTAAGCAAAGTTCGTTTTTAGATGTATAGAATGTATTCTCATACCAAAAACGTAGTAAATATGAACGAAGACATAAAATAACGTTTAATAATAGTGTTTTAGAGAAGTTTAGATCTAAATATCGTTTAATAAGTAGTGTCACTTCATACATGACGGTTTGTCAACTGCCTACATTCTGAGTGTGGATTCCAAAACAGTTTTCCAGTGAGTAGTGTTATGTTTGGCGCGATTGAAGTAAATGGGATGGAATTCAACAAGAGAAACTGGAATTTGCTTGATTTCACCGATGGGGACGTCGTAGGAGCAAAAGTTTTCATAAGGTGACATGCCATGAGGCCGGTCGGTGCCTAATAAATTTAAATAGAACTGACAGGCTAAATCTGTTTATTAAAACTCTCGCGGGTAATTTACTATGCTTTCAATGAAAAAAGTCGCTCAGATGCGTAACCGGAGTCTTGGGCATGTATTAGCATAGGAAATTGCACGAATATATTCCAACGTCCATTTTCGCCAAAATTTACTGATATTTTCCTAGATATAGTTACGTAAACACAATTTCGCACAAGAAAAGGACATTTCATTGAAGGAAGTGGATGGGCGAACAAAATGCGCAACGTTAAAGATGTCCAGAAATTCCCACATCAGTTTCCGTTAGCAGATTTCATGAGATAGTGCACGTACTGTACTCTTAGATATGCCAACGAAAGGGTACACATTGTGCCCATAAAAACAACTTCCAACGACCGTCTAACCTCCTGATGCCTTGGATGGTCAGTAAATTCATTTGTCGGCCAACCTGACGACCAACAACAGACATAAGCGCCAGCAAGGTGCGCGTGGACATTGCGAAGGCTGTCTTCGGTGACAACGCCATAATTTTGCAGGATACCGCTCCTGTTACCCGTTCAGAAGAGGCACCACTTTAAAACTGTCTACGATTAAAATCCACTTTATTCAGCCAAGAGTCAGGGTCACATCTGGAGACCTCCGAACAATTGCTAGTTTAGTTAACAAGCCCATTGAAATTACTCCCTTACATATCGAAAAAACTACCATAAGACAACGAAGGGCTACCACATGCAAGAAAAGCTTCACTTTGTGCCCCAAATTACGTGGACCAAACCATTACAGACAGTCAGGCAGTTTTCATGGCTGAGAAATTTACTAGCATATCAAAGGCAAAAAAAACAATCGACAAGGTGTCAATATCTTGTTGTATTTTTTCGTTATTCTCTCATTTTGTCCCGCCTTCCTTTGTTACGTGACTACAATTTCATCAGATTTAATGATAAACGGAGTTTAGAGGCACACACCTATATTTCCCTCAAATAAGCTGAAGGTCATATACCGAAGAGTGAAAACAGAGGATCCGTGTCACGGGAAACGAAATACGTCTTGGAACACCGGTAAGTTAGAAATGGCAATCAGATTATGTGAATGTAATAAGCATAAGTACGCAGTTGGATATTGATTACCATGGGATAAAAATTCGCGAAACTGAATTTTTTTTGAAGAACAACAGATCAAATCTTAAAAAAATAGAAGATTAGTTCGAAACGCTGGATGTCACTTAGGGACGCTGAGGTTGAAGCATTTTAGACACCAGCGAAAAAATATGGGCCGCTTGTTACGTCATTAATCACGTGACGAAACTACCGAAACAAGCGGGCTCTACTCAGTTCGTTTGGTACAGTAGACTATTCTGTAAATATCACGAGATGGCTCTTAACTGCTTTATAAAGGCCAATTCTTTCATTTAAAGTCAGGGAATTCGGTAAAAAGGAGTTACATGCTACTGGGCAGTTTCAAAGCAACCTTGCTCTTCTCCCACAAAACAGTTGTCCTCGAATATTTTCTGTGCTGAACTCATAGGGTGCGTCAAAATGAGGGTGATTCTTGGTGACTGTGCACCTATTCAATAAAAATGTAAAAGTCAGTCTGTCTAATCTTCACATGATTCGGCTCGTCATGTGAGTAGGTGGCCCGTGACATTATTTCAAAGGCTGTGTGATCCACTTCTATGGCGGCAAGAAATATCGAATGCAAAAAAGTACGAGGTGCCGCTTATAAGTGGCAAGATGAAAAGTGGGTGCAAACTCAGAGATGTACTCTAGATACGGGCATCGGCAAGAGGTATTTCAGTCTCGAAAGAAAACAACAAGTTGGTTCAAAAGATCTGCTAACCTGTCTTCTAGAAGACGCTGCCGCACGCCGTGAAGAAGCACTGGACATGGCGATGGCCGCAGCCTTCTCTTCGTCCAAGGGCAAGGCATCTGCCGCAACCGTAGCTACGGATGAGGAGGATGAGCGAACACGTCGACGACGACCGTGCTGGTATGGCGGCCTGGGCGATTTGGTTAGCGTCGGGGCCGTCGTTGAAGGGAGTCCGGGCGGACGCGCTCCGATCTTGCCACTGGTGCTTGGATCGTCAAAACTGGAGGTATCACTCACCCCAGCGGCCTCTTCTACGGAGATCGGACTGAGTAGCTGCGGAGCTGCTTCAAGTCCGCCATCCACGACGACACCATGCTCAACATTAGATCCTTCCCCCTCCTCGTCGCAGGCAAAACTGAGAGTAGCCTCCTCGTGGATTGAGAGGTGTTGTGGCGGTGTGGGTGACAGCGAGGCAGCCGAGCGCTCCCTCATCGGCTCAGTAGAGGAGGAGCAAATGGAGGCGTTAGAGGCACGAGAACTGCCCGGGGGTGCTTCCTGATCGGCAAGGCCAGCAGTGGAAGCAGGCGCGGCAGCGGTAAGCGACGCGGACTCCCATAGGGAGGACGGCGAGGCCGGCAAGGAGGCAAGGGCGGCAGTAGTGCAGTGAGGAGCAGGGGAGGAGGAGGAAATTGGACCGAGCGGCGAGGACGCGACGGCGACCGTGGCCTCAGAGGTTTCAATGACCGTTGAGGGCGTTTCGGGAGTCAGCTTTGACTGAGACCGGACCGCAGTCGTCAAACTGGGGGACAGCGGCTCGCCCGATAATTCATTGGGTTTCGGTCTACCCTTAGCGGTGGTTACCGGTTCAGCAGGGGTCGCTGAATCCAGGGACGCGCTCGAAACTGGAGAAGTTCAATTGAATAAACGTAGGTTATAGTTGTTAAAAATGTGGCTGCAAAATGCTAGCTTTTAAAGCTGCATGTTAGTCAAGCAAACTCGACCGACTACTCGGCGACTTCCTCAGTAAGGTTTGACTGAAAGTTACGCTTACGAAAACTAAACTAGCATAGGGACAGTCAACAGTTTGACGCTCGTCCGAAATCAGATCTTCGTTAGAAGCATTACCAAATATTCTGGTAGTAATCGAAAAATTACGAAAGCCCTTCCATACAAACGACTGTCATTTGTCCTACGACCGCCTCAAGTGGCATCTAAGCAGCTCCTGAGATACGAGGAGAAACATCAACAGTTACAGTTTGACCGTCGCGAACGATGGTGTCTACCGTGTTCCCCACAGTATGGTGGACGCAGGACGGTGAATCGCGCTAGAATTAGTTTAGGGTAGTAGCAGAATCGGGCAGCATCCATCGTGCTCTCCTTCACCCTGCTGGGCCCCGTGGCAAGTATGAGTCAGGCCGACCTGATAGGGTGCAGTGACCAGCAAATCTAAACAGCCGGCCCACGTGTGCCACACACGTCCGGTTGGCGCACAATGGACAAA